AATATGCCTACGAATTTTGAAAGATTCATGCCCTATTTAGCATGAAATTTCAGAAATGGCGGAACCCTAAACCCCGAATTTTTTTTGATCCAAAAACAACCAATTTTTTCACCATTTAATCCTTGAAAAAGCTGAATAAAGTTGTTTACAGCCTGCAAAACAGATCATATGCCGAAAAAAACAAAAAAAATGATCAAAAAATGACAAATTTGAAAAAATCCGTGAAGAACACGGTGCAACCCGTGTTCTTCACGGACTCGCCGATTCCGCACAGTGAATCGGCGAGTCACTGTGCGGAATCGTCCGGTTCTCTCTAGAACCGGACGATTCCCGGTTTTTGAACCGATCCGGTACCTTTTTCGTGAATTCCGAGTCGAACCGGGCGAGTCCGGTTCGACTCGGCGATTTTTAAAACGCTGGCTACATCAATAAGATAGGAGTAACATCTTTGCCTTTTTTCCTGGATGTCACTATAACTTGAGTTGTCAGTGCAATTTACATTCCATATTGATTTGTGTTTCCACTTCCGAAGCTTTCTTAAACATTAGTTATAGTAGTTATGTAGTTCATATGTATGTGTTTTGATATGAGTTCTCTCCTCACCAATCTGTGTATATTCAATTGTGCATGTGTACGTGTGTATGCATGTATATCTTTGTATAGAATTTTGAAACCCTAGCTCGGCATTTCTTTGACCGTACAACTATAGAAGTTTGTCTCTTTGCTCCAACTTTTAAACATAATTCATCTCTTTTGAAGTCAGTGCATTGCATTCCTGGAATACTCACCTGAATTTTGTCTCTCATCTCACCTGAAGTTCTCATCCATAAAAATGATCCCATTAATGAAACTGCTTTGTGGTTTCTGATTTTAAGGAATTTGTTGGCTCAATATTTGTATGGCCAAGCAGGTTAGGTGCATCTATTTGTGATTTCTTCTGTATTTTTTTTATCATTTACTTTGCACTATTCTCCACCTAGGTTATTTATGTCTGAGCATCTCCTTTCTCAAGGCTATTTTGCAAAGCAGCATTTCTGTTTTCTCTCTCAGGTAATTGTGAAGCATTTTGTGAAATAGGTTGTCTCGGTGACATTGGAAAATTATGGAAACTCCAAAGATAAGTCAGATAATATTCATCTGGAGAAGCAAGGTTCCAAGAACCACTGGGTCCAAGAAGTACGCAAGGTCGAGGGCCTTGTTTCACCCATGCCAGTTGCAACAAGAGTTGCATCCTGGAAAAAGATTGTCAATGATAAGGGCGAAGTCAATGTCACCACGTAAGTTATTAGTCAATCCACACTTTCATGTTTATATTTCCTTCATTTTTACCTTGTAATTAAGTTCTCAAGGTTGTAATTAAGTTCTCAAGGTTTCTATTTCATGATACTCTCCAGGGAGGAAGCTAAAAGTCCTATGTTTTGGTCTAGAGTTTGTTTGCACAATATGGCAAAGCTTGCAAAAGAGGCAACAACTGTACGCCGTGTTTTGGAATCTTTGTTTCGTTATTTTGACAATGGGAATCATTGGTCGCCTGAGCATGGGCTTGCAGTTTCTGTTCTATTGGATATGCAGTCTTTGATGGAGGCATCTGGTATATTAGTGTCTTTCATGTTTAATTTCTGTCATAATAATATTGCCTTTTTACATGTTTTCCAAGTTTATATGACTAGCTAAATTGTTTTGCTAACTAAGCATGTCATGAATCTTCCTTTTCGGTCTTTCATTTCTGATTATTTTGGTTGATGTACAGGGCAAAATATACATTTGCTTTTGTCTATCTTGATTAAGCATCTTGATCATAAAAGTGTGATAAAGCAACCTGGTATGCAGTTGAAAATTGTTGAAGTTACCACCATCCTTGCTGAACATTCGAAGGTTCAAACTTCTGTTGCCATAATTGGTGCCATAAGTGATCTAATGAGGCATTTGCGCAAAAGCATTCATTGTTCCATTGAAGCTGCAAACCTGGGAGATGATATAAATGCATGGAACAAAGTACTTGGTAGTGCAATAGAAAAATGCCTGGTGCAACTGGCAAATAAGGTTACGAATCTATTTCTACCTAAGGAATTTTTGGAACTTGACAGCTAGAAGCCTCATTGTTCTGTCATATGTTTACATATTAAACTGTGCTTGCCATCTAGCTTTTCCTTAAACATGCTCCATAAGTTATTTGATAGTTGATAATTTTCTGGAGACATGGTATAGATTTTTGATATACATTGATAGATCCAAAACCTTTTTATAGGCATTGTTACGCTGTTAGTTGAAACTAAAAGGAGAATGTGATTGCTGGTTTCATTTGGTTGGCAGGTTGGGGATGCCGGACCTGTTCTTGATATGATGGCTGTGATGCTGGAGAACATCTCAGCCACTAAAATTGTAGCTAGGACAACAATATCTGCTGTTTATCGAACTGCACAAATAATTGCCTCTGTACCTAATTTGTCATATCATAACAAGGCAAGTTTAGTGAACATGCACCTTTATATCTTTTAAATTTTTATTTCAGGACTTTTTAAGTATTTTCAATTCTGGTAGGCTACCTCTGTGAACATTTAATCCAACATCAACTTCTCTACAGGAATTTCCTGAAGCTCTATTTCATCAGTTAGTAATAGCAATGGTGTACCCAGACAATGAAACCCGGGTTGGTGCACACCGCATCTTCTCTGTTGTGCTGGTGCCATCTTCTGTTTGCCCTCGTCCACATCTCATTGCTGTGAACTCATCCAAGGCATGTGACATTCAAAGGACCCTCTCAAGAACAGTATCTGTCTTTTCATCTTCCGCTGCTCTTTTTGAGAAGCTAAAAAAAGAGAAGTCTTATCTACGAGATGGAGCCTTTGAGGAATTTGAATTAAAGGATGATGGAATCTGGGAGAAACCCAGGCATCTGGATGCTATGGATGCAAATCGTAAAAGTGATGCTGATGTGAAACTAAATTCACTGAAGTCATCCTGCAGTCGAGTTCAGAGTATGAAGGTCTCACAATCATTTCCAGTTTCTGTTACAGAGGGAAACTCTATGGGTCTTGCGAATATGGAAATGGTACCGGTTTTTAAACTCCTCAGTTTGTTCCTTCACAATCTTCTTGTTCTAATTTTTTTTTACTATCTAGTACTTACTTATTCCTTGCCAGTGAAATCATGTATTAACTGTTTATCCATCTGCTGAGATTCAGGAGTTGGTCTCGCTTAGATTGAGTATCCACCAAATTACACTTCTGCTTTCATCCATATGGGCCCAGGCACTATGCCCTGAAAATACCCCGGAAAATTATGAAGCAATATCTCATACTTACAGTCTTGTTTTGTTGTTTTCCCAAACAAAGGTATGATTTCTTGTACTCTAGATGCAACTGAGTTTGGAATTAAGACTTGTAGATTTTGTCAGCGTTATCTCCCTGGTGTGATGTTCGATAAGATTTTTGGATGGCTTTTGACTGCAACCTTTCACATTTTGCATAATGATATTGGGAGTTTTTTTTCTCTCCTAAATAATGGATTGCTATGTTGTATCCACCTTTTTCTCTATGGTATTCATAAATTTCCTTCTTTATGGTATTGAGTTTGGTTTGAAATTTTTTAGGATTTACCTTAATACCATTGCAATTGATAAGGCATGATCGACTTAAATGCCAATACAAGTATGCAGATGACAGAACGACATTGGACGTAGTAAATAATCTCCAAACTGTGTGCATAAACAGCCCTTATACTCATTTACAACATGAAGCACACTATATCCAAAACTAAACATAATGCAAGTCTACTTTCTACCATGCATCCTGAGGCATCTTATGACATACATCCTGCCATAGTTTCCCCATTCATCCTGTTATAGACCATGGAAAGCACTTGAACTCCCTTTTCCCATTTGACACCCAACTATTCTTTTCTTTTTCTTAAAAAATTATAAACACTTTTGAGTTTTCTGAAAGGGGACCTGTCGCCTTCTTCCCGCCCCCTCCCTTCTTTTTCTCCCTTATACAGTCTTTCATTGCCTACACCTGACACAACTATGTGTACTTCAACTTTGTGAAATAAAATGTGAAAAACAATATAGTGCATTTTCCAAAATAAATTTAATTTTCTCACCTATTGAAATGCTAGTCTGCCTGAGGTTGGGATTGGATTAAGAATTTTACTGATTCATTGATGGGTTTGATCATATTTCAAATGCTTCTAATTGATTCAAATACAGCTTATTCAAAATCCAATACTCCCACCTAGAATGTAGCCTGAAGAGGTTCTCTCAAATACATGAGTGGACGTCCTTTTGAGCATTTGGATTTTGGATGTTACTTCTTTAATTGTCTAAGATAATGATCAGCTTCCAAATGTTCGTTTTTTCATCTTGCCATGTTTGAGTCGATTTTACCATCGCACTTCAATTCTCAAAGTACATAGAACATCTTCAAAGCAATTCCAATCAGGAATTGCCAAGAGTCAAGATAGCAACCTTGTCAAATCAGAGAAACTTGTGAGCTCCAAGAAAGCCAAGAAAACAAATGATGGATTATATGAATGTGCAAAAATAGTTAGCAATCTTGTGTACTGGCGGCCATTAGCATGATATGCAGCTGAACATGTTCATTGCAGAAATCCTTGTATCACACAGATTCAAGATTTTTTATTTTGAAATTTAAAATTTTAAGATTAGAATCATATGGTATCCTGATAGAGGTTTGGAAGTGCATGGGGGATATTGGCATATGCTGGCTTACCAAGTTGTTCTACAAGGCGTTGAGAAAATGCCAGACAAATGGAGGAAAAGTATTGTGGTACCTATTTACAAGAACAAAGAAGACATACAAAATTGTACGAACTATCAAGGGTATAACTTATGAGCCACACTATTAAGTTGTGGGAGATAGTGGTTGAGCAAATGACTAAGGCTTGAAACGAGTGTATCAAAAAATCAGTTCGATTTTATGCGAGGGAGGTCGTCTATCGAAAACATTTTCCTACTTCGACAACTGATTGAGAAGTGCAGGGTAAAGGGAAAAGACCTCCACATGGTCTTTATTAATTTAGAGAAAGCATATGATAAGGTACCTAGATATTTAATTTGGTGGGGGTTAGAAAAGAAATGAGTCAACATAGGTTATATTGACATAGTGAGAGATGTGTATGAGTTAGCTCTAAATAGTGTGCAGACAACTAGTGGAGATTAGAGAGACAAGTGAGTACTCAGTGGCGATGGTCCTACATCAGGGGTTAGCATTGAGCCCATATTGCTTTGTTTTGGTTATGGACGACTTAACCAACACCTACAAGATGAGGTGTCGTAGTATATGTTATTCGTAGATGATATAGTTTTGATCGATGAGACTAGAGGCGGCATCGATGCAAAGTTAGAATGTTGGCGGGATGCTCTAGAAACTAAAGGTTTAAAATTAGCCGGACTAAGACAGAATACATGAAATGGAAGTTCAGTTTTAATAAGAGTAGAAACAAGGAAGTAGTTAAGATTGATAGTCAAGAAATACCTAAAAGCGATTGTTTTTGATATCTAGGGTGATAATCCAGGAGAATAGAGAGATTGAGGAAGATATCACACACAAAATTAGAGTTGGAATGGGGGAAGTGAAGATGTGCATCCGGAGTTTTATGCAATTGCAGCATACCATTGAGATTGAAGGGGAAGTTATACAAGACTGCTATAAGACCAGCCATACTTTATGAGGTGTAATGTTGAGCTTTCAAGCAACAACATATCCACAGGATGAATGTAGTTGTGATGAGGATATTGTGATGGATAAGTGGCAAGACGAGAAAGTAGACCTAGGTGGGCTGGCCATGGGAAGCATAGATTTAAACAATAGCTGTTAGGAATTCGATTTAGTTCAAGTAGAAGGCTCTATGAGGGCAAGGGGAATGCCCAAAAGGTCTTGGATAGACGTAGTGAGAAAAATATCATAACTTTTGGTCTTACTGAGGGTATGGCCCTTGATCGAGAATAATAGAGGAATGGGATTCATGTAGCCAACCCCAAATAATTGTGATAAGGCTTGAATGATGATGATGATGAATTTAAGATTTTACTAGAAGTACAAAATGTATGTATAGAAGAATATCTTCCTCTTGACGTGAAACCCACATTTGAGATAGATAAATGAAAGCAAAGGTTAGTGTCCTCACAAATGTCTTAAATGAAATAAAAGTCACAAAAATTGAAATAGAAGTCGTGAAAATTGGTGACATAATGATCTTGACATACCTTGTTACAAGTTGTCTTTTCCTAGGTATCATGCAACTCTCAAACTATGTTGTTTGACATATTCACACACACTACCTATTTTCCCTTTGAGGAAATAGATCTTATGAAACTTGGGTTTCTTTTTGAAAGCGTCGTTGGAAATTGACATATATTTTTGTCTCACTTGAATATTGTTAAAAAAGAAGGTGCTCTTTACAAAGCCTGAGGTCTTTTGTCTTTACAAAACCTTTCTTGGAGTTTCTTCTATTTTCTGTTTATATGTCTTTCTATATATAATAATTCATCAAATATTTTTTTGAAGTGTGCCTTTACATCCAAGTCCAATATGACGAGCTTTATCAAATTTTAGAAATGTTCCTTCATCTTGAGGTTTATGAAGTTGCTCCTAGGAAAAGGTCTGAAGCTACCTTCTGACCTTTCCATTATATTTTATGAAAATATCCTCAAACTATCCCTCTAGAATTATGCATTTTTATCCCTGTAATGTGTGCCTACCATGCTTTGCCCTTTTATTGAAGGCTTAAAAAATACCATTTCTTATATATCTAATGTTGATCATATGTTTGCTTTCACATGAATCTCTTTTGAAATATGATATGCTTGGCTCACAATTACTAGAGGTGAAGACAAACTCTTACATTCATTAGTCATACTTCTATTTATTGGGTTCAACAAAAATAATCATGTTTATGTGGAGGGTCCATCTTATACTCTTGTGGTTTGTAGGCCTCAAGCAATGAAGCTCTCATTCGGAGTTTTCAGCTTGCATTTTCATTGAGAGCCATTTCTCTTGCCCAAGGAGGTAAGCTTCTCAATTGCATATTCAGATAAAGTACTTTATATGTCAAGATCAATTTTTGCCTTTAAATGCACAAAATGCTGAACTTGTTCTATTTGTTGAGATGCGTGATTGTTTTCTCCCAGCTACTACCCAGAAAGTTGTTACAGAAGTTGATCGGTAGCAAATGCTTGGAGTATCGTATGTACTGATAAGTTCATATTACTAGGATTAATGAGTCCAGAGCGTTACACTCTATCTATTAGAAATCGGACTGCAGCTGCCTTTATTCATCAAAGGTTTTCTCTGTTCAGCATATAAGATTTGAATGATGCCTTCTGTCATTGTTTTGTGCAGTTATTAGTCAAATGGGTAAAGAGAGTCATAGGATTCACAAGTGGGTCCATAGTCTAGCTACTCATGCTCATGACAAAGTTGAGAATATGTAGGAGTAAACATAACAAGTTACATGGTCGCACAAATCTGTAGCAGCCAAGGGACTGTGGAAAATACTGAAAGTCATAATTCGGAAATTAGAAACAACTTTCTTGCATTGAAGAATTATAAACTTCTTGGTAAGAGTTTTAAATTTACCCATTGTATTTTCAGAACAATCAGAAGTTTGTCTTTTAAATAAATCCAAAACAACGGTCTTGTAAAATATTTCTAGATAGGTTTTTAAATTTCAATATTAGGAATGTTGTTTGCACCCTCCCCCCCCCCCAACCCCAACCCCAAACACACACACACACAAAACAAAAAACAAAAAAACAAAAAAAAAGTGTTCTTAAAAGGACTCAGCATGGATTTTGGGCTATTAAGTTTAAAGGGGTGGAAGTAGTCACAGGAGCAACCATTACAGTAAGGGCTGATGGAAAACCACTGCTCACTGTAGGCTGGTCCCCCTGCTGGTTTAAGCTTAAGCTATTCTGGCATTTTAAAGATCCCCTCCAACGGGCCTCCCATTTCTTTTATGCTTCGTTTGTAAAAGGTAATACCTGGTACATGTAATGGCTTACGCACGACATTTTTTTGCCTTTCAAGCGCTCTGTACTGTTGAAAAGAAAGGGTCTCTACCTTTATGGATATAATACAAAACATTGCTCGTTTGTGGCATTTTGTATTTTGTCGTGCCTGGTATTGTGTCTCCCAAAGCACTGATCCTTGAAGCCCAATGCCATCTCATGGGTTATGCAGCATAATCCATTTTGGAAGCATTTCAAATGCAGTATTGCCCTCTTTCTCATGTATTTTTATCTTTATTTCCATAAAAATAGAAGTGGCAGTCACTCTCCAGACCTGCATCTGGACCTAACAAAGCAAAATAGAACCATTCATAGTCCAAGCCTCTCTTGTGCAATACATAGATGATATGTGTGCACGTGTACATATAATTGCATGCATATGCATATAAAAACCTACACACTATATGCATGGAATAGTTAATCCAACAATGAGCTGTAAAGTACATGTGACTCTGTTTCTTAAGAAACTTCCCAGGTTCACTGTTGTATCCTGTGTTTTTCTGTAAATATAAACTTTGATTCAATGTTTTTGGAATGATATAAACTCATAATTTATGAGTTCTAAAATGTGTAGGAGACAATCACAAAATGTTGCTTGTTCATTTTCTTCTCTTAGAGGCCGACTTGTGGAGAAAAGTAACCTTATTCAGATATCTATTGGTTCCAATTGGGATGAGCCTTTACTTATTCAGAACTTTTTGTGTAGGAGAGTTTGCATCAAGCTGTGCCATGTCCATTTGCATCAAGTGGTTTTTCTCTAATCATTGCAAAAATGTGGTTCATGATTGCGTGCATGTTGACTTTATGCCATATGTTGTGGTCAATGGATATACATCTTATTTACTTATTTATTTATTTGACAAATGCATCTCTGGACTACAATTGGAATTCAATGTGTTCCACAATATTTTGGTTGGTCTTAGATCGTTTCCCTTTAACAAGGGTTGACTTATTCGGAAAAGCAATTTTTCATGAAATCTATCAGGTTCTTTACCACCATCTCGTTGTCGCTCCCTCTTCACTTTGGCAACATCAATGATTATATTTGCATCGAAAGCCTACAACATTCAATCTATTGTTCCTTGTCTCAAGGCAGCCCTTACTGAGAAAATGGTAGGTATTGTAGCAAAACTATTTGCATTTGAAATTATTTGAATTTGATAGGATCTTGTTGTTGTTTTCATTATCTAGTTATGTTGCAGAAAATAAATTGTGATATCTCATTCTAATTATGGCTGTAATTTTATGCATGCTTTCAAATGTCATGGATGAATCTTATGGTTAAATAAAGAAATCCAAACTTTTAATTTTAGAGATCCATTAGGCTATCATACTCATTTATACAAGTACACTTGATTAAATGTCAAACTGAACCTATGTCATCTGGTAGTAATATTCATTGCAACACAAGTATTTTAAATTTGTTGTAATTATTTGATTTAAGATCCCTTAACTTCTTAACTATTTGAATGCTAGCAGGAGAAAACTTGAACTACTATGGTAGGCTTAGGACATGAACTATAACTATGCACCAGAACTCTCTTCCATTTATGAACAAGTTTATGTAAAAGTAGCAAAGTGCATATTTTTACTATTCTACTTAACCGGGAATAGAAATACCTCAAGGGTACCATTTAGCAATACGTAAGTCTGGGAAAGTCCATTTGATCATGTAAGGGGCCAAGAAGGAAGAACTGCTTCATATTTGAGGCTAACCACATCCATCCCACCTTTGATGGTTGCTCCCATGGCAACCCAGGACCCTCAGGTGGGGGGGGTCTTTTTCGTGCAAGTGATGGCTGTATTTTGTTGACCTTTTCCCATCCTGTTGGAGTAGCAGGCTCCACTCTTGCTTAGGCTCTTGCCCTCTTCGAGGGCCTTAGCAAGTTTGATCCCTCATGAAGTCACGACCTGGTAGTGGAACGAGACCCCAAAAATATCATCTCTTGGGTATCTAATCGCTCATCATGGCCTTGGCATCTCAATGACATTTTCGAAGAGATATGGTATTTAACTAGGGGTTGCAGTATTGTTTGGTGCCATGGTTATAGAGAAGCCAATTCAGACGTTGATCTTTTGGCAAAGGAGGGGGCCTGTTCAAATTCCCCCTTGGGGAACTAGTTCTTGTGGCCACCTTCTCTCCTCAATCTCTCCGAATTGCATATCCTTTTTGTGCATTCTTTCGAACCTTTTGGGCTTGTATAGAGTGACCCTTGTAGGTTACGATACATCTTGTAATTCTTGTACTTTTATTACTTAGTAATGCAATTGTAGTGAATTTCACTAAAAAAAAAAAACCCATCCCACTCCCGAAAAACGTATTTTTAAATATCCATCAAAGGTGCTCTCACTCGGGCACAAATCCATAATTCTAGATCTTGCAACCCTACAGAGTTATTAACTTTTCATCATTGAATCTAGTGGATGCAAATCTTTGCTTGAGGTTCCAAGCATGTTCGGTGGACTATCTTGCCCGACAAACTAGAAAAGAGTTGCCCCACACATTCGAAATATTGTACCCAAAAATTTGTGGAAAGGACATTTTTTCAAAAAGAAAACATTCAAAATTGAAGTTTAGCCAACTTGAAATTTGAACAAAGAGCCACCTTCAAAAGACTTCCCAATTCTCCAAATATAACGATAGAGAAAATTAGCATAAAATTGGGAAGTGCAGAATATGCTTGTCAATACTATGTAGAACTTGAGGGGAATATGAATTTTGAAATTGCTGTGAGAGAGAGCCCATTTAGTAACTTGAACGTGTATATATCAATTATCAGCTAATATATTTTGAAACTTTACCTATTGTATAGTATTAAGTAAAGTTTTTTTTTTTGGACAAGGGTACACATAGGAATGGAACTTGAGACATTAGACTCTGAAAACCTAGCTTCTACTGTCTCGACACAAGCTTGTTTCCGATAGTATTAAGTAAAGTTGTACAAGTTGTCAAAAAATAGGCTATCCACATACCGGGAGCTCTATACAAAAACCACCGAGAAGGTGATGTGTGTCAAAAAATGCTGTACAATGAAAAAGAAATGGAAGAAAAGCCCAAAATACACAAAAAAAACACAGCCCTAAGCTTCTGCCATGGTTGCTGCTCCTCTAGCAAGAGCGTCTGCCGTGTGATTTGCCTCCCTCCAGGTATGAGTCCATGAAACGGGAATATGTTTGCAAAGGTCAAAGATCTTGTCAAACACGTGAGCGAGTTCCAAATCTCCAAAAGGGGGTGCCCCCCCTCCCCCTCCCTCGAGGCCCAAAGGATCACCTTTTTTGAATCTCTTTCCACAACCAGATTGGTGCTCCAAAGGGGATTGAAAAGATTGAAGCCCTCCAATGGGGCAAGAGCTTTCTTTGAGGCAGAGTCTGCTCAACCAATGGGTTTTGACAAAAGAGAGGAAGGGTTTGCGAAGGTAGTTTCTGAAGATTCCCCAATACTCGCCAGTCCCAAGTTGCCAAGAGAGCAACTGTAGAAGTTGAGTATGGTATTGTCAACTTCCGAAGTCTGCCAAAGGGGCGAACAAGGGATGGCGTTAGGCCTTAGCACGAGAAGTAAGTGCTAATTAAGGTGGAAGTCTAAAGCTAAGAACAGTGTTTGAAAATTCAGCCGCTCGATTGCCTAGGCGAAAAATTTCAAAAAACGCCTAGGCACTATCTGGGCGGTGGAATTATGCGACTTGTCTTTGGGCGCCCGCCTAGGCGCTACAGTCTGGGTGCCTACCTAGGCACCGCCTAGTGACAGTTTTCAGAAGGGTGAAAAAACCCTCGGCAGGGGTTAAAATATGTCATGTCCCCCCCTCTTCCCCCCCCAAAAAAAAAAGGGGGGGAAAAGGGTTTTGAGGGGTATTCTAAACCCACAAAACAAAAACAGTGGCTTTTAGTGTGAGAAAAACTCCCTAAAAAACTACCTTTTTGTGATTTATCGAAAGATCAATAAAGTTTTGATTTTTGTGATTTCTTCCCAAAACAAAGGCAATAGTTCGTGGGTGGATCTAGAACTTCTAATTGTTGATTTTGAGGCCTTTTGGTGACCCAATAGACGAAATTTGCACCAACATTGATTTGATTTTGATATTTTTTAAGTATTATCATATTTGAAAGAGGGTTTTGATTTTATTTTGCTACAACATATTATGTTGCGGATCATGTGTTTCTTCTTTTACGATATATTTACGTGTTTGATTGATGACTTGATGTATTTGTTTTTTGATTTTGCCTTGTTGACTTTGTGTATTGTTTCTAGTCTAGACTTCTAGTTTCCTACAATATATTTGGGATTTCAAGCATTTTAATGTCTTACAAGTTGCAATCTCTTTGAGACTTGTATCCGTAAATCTGTTATGTGATTGTACTATTACATATTCATCTATTTAACGAGGAGTTTGGGGCTCTGAAATTGCCCTAAAACCTCCCAAAGACTTAAAAACATGCCCTAAGAACTCCCCTGTTTTTTTGGTTTGCGGCGCGCGAGGGTTCAATTGTGGTGAGGGCACCCCTGTCTCTAGGCGGGCACCAAGGCGGCCAGTCACCCAAAACGCCTAGGTGCCCGAATCCGCATTTTTTAACATTGGCTGAAAAATGCCTGAAGCTACATTGGTTCAATCCCCAGAAGATGACCATGGCCTTGATGTTGTCCTTAAGGGCGTGGAGAGGGGAACTGCGGCCTCTGAAAATGCGGTTGTTTTGTTTGATCCAGATGGCCTAGAGAGTGGCCGCCATGGAAGCCTTCAAAAGTAAAATGCCCAATTTGGCCCATGGGAAAAATTTTGAGTATTGGAACAGGTGTGGAACAGATCTGGGGATGATCCAAGTCCAATGGAAGAGTTGGAGTAGGTCCTTCCAAAGAGTGCTTGCTAGGCTGCAGTGGATGAAAAGGTATGAGTTTATCTCCTCATCCACCAAACACATGACGCAACAATTGGGAGTTATGACGTCCCTCCTTTGTAGTTGATTGACAGTCAACACGCTCTTGGAACGGGCAATCCAATTGAAGAATTCAATTTTGGAGGGGAAGGAGGTCCAAGCTTTGGCGACAATGGGATGGAATGGAGTTTGTGGTAGAAGGAAGAAACTGTGAAGGAGCCATCTGCAGTTAGGGACCAAATAACTTGGTCCTCCCCATGGGGAGAGAGATAAACTGAGTAGAGGAGGCCTGAGAGTTGAAGGAATGCTTCGACCTATCCATAACGGAGGTGTCTCCTAAAATTTGGGTTCCAAGACCAAGAAGGGCCTAACAATTGGAAAGAATCTTCAACAGAGGCGTCACAATCTCTGGCCAGTCAGTAAAGATTTGGGAATCGATCTCTCAGGGGGGGTATGGCCAATCCAAAGATCAGACCAGAAATTAATACCCCCACCCCCCCCAGGTGAAAGTGAATATTAGCTTTGAATTGGTGAAGGTAATGTATGATCGATCTCTATATGCCAGAGCAAGAACTGTAAGATGTGTTGAGTGGTAACCAGGGAGGATGGAGGGCGAATATTAGCTTTGAATTGGTGAAGGCAATGTAGGATCGATCTCTATACACCAGAGCAAGAATTGTAACATGTGTTAAGTGGTAACCAGGGAGGATGGGGGCAATAATTATGGCAGAGGATAGTTTGCCATAGGTGTCCTCCTGAGTAGCCAGGCACCACCACCATTTGCCCTTGCCCAGCAAGTTCAAGTTATTCTTCTTGAGGGAGGGAATGCCTAAGCCACCTTGGGCCTTGGGTAGGCACACCGTGGCCCAAGAGATATGGTGGTATTTCCTAGAATCATCCTCTACTGACCACAGAAAGTTGCGCATAAGCTGTTCCAAGCGAGCTGCACGGCTGCCGGCATGTGGGAGAGAGACATTCGGAAGATGGAGATATTTGAAAGGGTGTAAGTTGCTGTCATGGTGGCATGTGGTTCATGCGCACCAAGGTCTTAGGCTTATGATATGGAATAAGGAATCATAATTTTGAGACCAGGCAAGCTGACCTGGGACTTGCCTTGGGGGATCTCCACCCATTTGGTTGCGGGATCCATTTAGGATAAAACTGGACTAAATTTGGTCATGTTCTTTTTCTAAAATAATAGTTTTTATAATATAGAATTCTATAAAATTCTGAGAAAACTTGACCTGAGACTTGACTTGGTTGGCCTGCTGGGTCCCCTGCTCTATTGCTAACTGAGTTCAAGTCCGGGTTCAGGTTTGTGAACATGTAAGAAACGATCCAGTACACTTGCAAAAGGTACATAACTATCATATATAGCATAAATGAGTTTTTGGTAGTGCTCCTTTTCTTTTATTATGGGTTAAGTGGGGAGGGAGGTTGTTTGGTTAGCAGTGAGATTAGAGCTTGCATCATTGTTCTGCATCAGTTAACACCCCAACCAGTAGGCTGTGAGCCCGAATCCTAGTGTTTATTTCTCTTTATTACCTATATAGAAGTCAAACAAATGCATAATTATATTATTTCTCATGACAATAACTTCTCTTTTTGTTTCATGCGTTGAATCATCTCAGGTTGATCCTTTTCTGCATTTGGTTGGAGACAGCAGACTACAGGTGTCTGATTTTAAGAAAGTTGTGTATGGATCAAAGGATGATGATAATGATGCCTTGAAGTTTCTTTCAGCATTAGCACTGACGAACAGTCAGGCAACAGAATCCTTGGTATCAATGATCATCAAGAGCTTAGGACTATTATCGGAGGTACATCCCTCCACTTAAGGACTTAGCACACACATGTACACCTAGTCAAGTTAATATAAAACATGAATGAATTATGTGAAATCGTTGCACATAAGCATTGTTACAGAGTGAAACCAGTATATAAACTTGTATCGTTGTCTTTGTAGTCGGAGTCTTCCACTATAAAGCGAGAACTGTTATGTGGATTTGCACCTGATGATGTCTGCCCACTGGGTGCTCAGTTGTTCATGGATACCCCACAGCATTCTTCCCTTTTTGGTTCAAAAGAATCTACATTCCTTGCTGAGGTAATTCCTTTGGAGTTTGCATTGGCTTTGTAGATATAATTTGTGGCAATCATGATATCTTGATAGTTTTTCTTTTGTTTAGGTCACTCCCTCGGTCACATTGACAGATGAAGAGCCTTTCCTTGAAATATTTGGAGATCAGGCAGAACTTGAAGACAATTTACCATCAAAGGAACCCCATCTTTTAAGTGTTAATCAACTTTTAGAATCGGTATGCTCATAACCTATATCTCTTTAGTTAACATGTGTTCTGCATTTGCTTGTATTCATGTTCGTAACTAAGAATGTGAGAGAGACGGGGGGAGGATACCATCAACACAAACACCACTAGGTAGTAGCTACTGTATGCGCAAAAAGGGTTAATCTTTAAGCATAGCAACAAATTTTGCCAAAATATTTGGGGAAAATGTCTGCATAAATCCTATGTATGACATATGATACAGAGAAGGGGTTGTCGACGATACATTGTTGAGACGAACAGTGGAGAGAAACTATAGTTGTGGGATGAATGTCCTTTATCAGAACTTTGGTTCATCTCCACTATCTGCCTGAGAATGGAGGCTGGATTCCCCAGCGAGCATTGTGTACCATAAAGTGCGGTACAATACACATTCCCCCACATATTTTCTGGTGATCGTATTCAAGAAGGAGCTTAGTGTTTCAATTTCAATTTCATGAAGAGAATTATTAAACATTTGCACCAATTGGAATTGCGGCTACTCCCCAATCAAAAAAATGCATGATTACTCTCTGTAAAAGATAAATTATTGAGTTCCATCAAAAGTTGGTGTCCTCTCTAAGAACAAATCATATATGAGACATTGGGAAAATACTATTTGTGCAGGTTTTGGAAACAGCACACCAAGTTGGAAGTTTCCGAATTTCTATCTCACCTGAAGTGCCATTCCAAGAACTAACAAGTCGCTGTGAGGCCCTTCTGATGGGAAAACAAGAGAAGATGTCTGCTTTCATGAACTCCTATCAGAAAGAAGAAATTTTACTTTTGCCAATGAGCTCACCAGGAGATTGCGAAGTAAAGCTGCAGTCAGCATGGCAGCTTGACCAAAGCTTCCAAGAGGTAAGTGTATTTTAGTTGTTTTCCTGAGTATACTGATGAACTTTTGCTTTTAAGAGTTTCTTAGTACTTCCTAAAAGATTTTGAAAATGTCGGTTTCCTGAAAATAAGGGGAAAATCTCAACAGAAAAGAAAGAAAACATATAAAATGGGAATCTAAAAGAAGGCAAATTAGATAATGTATTAGCCAGATTTTAATATGAATTTATAGTTTCCTTCCCTAAAACCTATATCTAAATTTACCTTCTTGGTTTTTTGAAGTCATAATTTTTCTAAATTTATAGCTTAGATATGTCCACTGATGTTACCTTTAAAAATAAGTTTGAATGCATGAAAATTTAGAAAATGGTAATGGAAAAGCCTCAGTGCTATTTAACATCTTATGATATTTCATTGGACACTTGCAAGGATGGGTTGGGACGAGAATGGGTTGACAAGATTTCCTTACTTGGACTGACCATCTACCATAAAACACATTGCAGAATCGGAATCCATTTATTGACCATGATTTCCCCCTAAATCCATATGGCTCAGCTTGTAATCCCGCATCGCAATGTTCTATGGAGTACCACCACCCAACTCAATTTTTTAAGCTCCCAGCCTCAAGCCCATATGACAATTTCCTTAAAGCAGCTGGTTGTTGACATAAATGAAAAATAAAATTATCCATGCCCTATCACAAATGATCAGTCTTACTTTTGCTAAGCAATGTATACATCCCAAATCAAAGCATTTATCAGCATTCTTTTTGGTGCAAACATATAGTCTTCCACCGTCAAATGGGTTCAAAAGACACATCTTGGAATTGTATGTATTCTATGTTGTGGAGGTATGTATCATATACACAATCATTTAATTCTAGGCATTGCATTTGTTTACGAGGGAAAATATCCGAGTTTGAAAGGTATTGCCTCTGGCTTCTCTTTCAACTAGTGTGCCATTATATTGTTCTGTTGAATCTAATCATTGGTTAAAGCTTTATATCATTACTTAATCATTCCCACCATTGTAATGGATATTTTTTAGCTTCTGATATATTGTAATATTTGGGAGAATAGACCCATTTAGTTACTCAGTTTTGTACCAGAGAATGTACATTGAAACCAGTCACAGATTGGGTTTTGGTGAGAGGAACAATGGTGTTGCAAAATTGTTCAGTGTGAGACACAGCAATTGGTTAGCGTGTAAGATCGGGTAATTAATGAATTTCTAGAGATTTGTTTTTGAGATACCAAAGAATAATAATTCACCCCATGATGCGATTTTCATTCTTCAACTTACGGTTTCGTAAAAGGAAAAAAGTTTATATAAGATTGCAACCTTAAAATGTAAAATTAAAGATGCACTTCACAAATCCATCGAAAAATGTTGTTTTAAAGTTGGAAAGCCCTCTAATTGACCATCTGCAAGTCGAGATATATGAATATGAAAAAAAAAAAAAGATTTTGAGTCTTAAAACTAGTGCATTTTGCAACACATTATCTAGACCGCTCATTTTCAAGATTTTCATATGTTTATAGATCTACTTGATTTTAACCATTTTTGGAGATTAAAATGTTATAAATAGATATAAAAAATAGATTTTCAGATTATTCTAGTAGTTTTTTACACCAAAATTATATATTATGATAAATTTTGGAGGTGTCTCAATTGGATTGTTTAAGGTTGTATGGAGGTTCTCGCTCATTAAAAGAGGGCCGAGATTCATTGAAAGAGGGCCGCACCACTCTCTTTCTATTCGCGCTCTCTCTCGCATGTCAAATGATTTTCTATCTCTGAGGCCTTCCAAATGATTAATTTGTTTTTTCTTTTTCTTTTTTTTTCTGAGGAGCTACCAAATGATTAAATTGGCATTTACTACAGGAGATGTTTTAAGCACTTTATAATGGAAAAAATTTATAAAAGTTGAGGCTCTAAATAATCAAATTAGGGCGCACTTCAAAAATTCGTTGGAAAAGGTTGTTTTGATGTTCAAATATCTTCAAATTGATGGTCTAGACCCCAATATGGATGGACAGGAGAATAAAATGGATTTCAAAATTTAAAAATAGTGCATCTTGTAATGTATTTTTGGACAATAGATTTTCAAGTTCCCATAGATCTGTTCGATCTACATTATTTTTTAACCTTTAAAAGTTATAATTAGTGGTGAAAATATATTTTAAGGCTATCGCAAAGATTTCCAGTAATGAAACCACATTTCTCAACACTATTTGAATGTGTGATTGACTTTGATTGTTTAGAGCTTCAGCTCTATACAAAGTTTTCATATTACATATAGATCGAGGCTCCAAACAATCAAATTAGAGCCTACTTCAAAAATTTCACTTGATGAGCTTATTTTGATATTCAAATGCACTCAAATTGATCATCTCGACATCAAGATGCATGGACATAAGAGAAAAATGGAATTCAGGTTTTAAAAATAGTGTATTTTGTAACGTTTTTTGAGCCGTCAATTTTCAAGATTTTCAAGTTTTCATAGATTTGTCAATCTACACTATTTCTTAAGCTTTCAAACTTTATAAATTAAAATTAAAATATATTTTAAAGTTATCACAAAGATTTCAGTATTGAAACCACTAGATACTATTCGAAGGTAGGCTCTAATTTGATTGTTTAGGGCCTAGGCTCTATACAAACCGCACCCTTTACTGCTTATACGAACCGCACCCTTTACGGCTTACAGAGGGTACGGGATTGCATATTACAAGACCATTTGTACTCACATTATTTACTGTCAGTCCAAAGAATGCCACCATGATATGCAGCTGTTGGATGTTACACTTGTAGCCTTAGATTGTATTGCTAAATTAAAAACGAAAAATTATTTTACCTAGTGCGAGAGAGGGAGAGAGAGCGAGTGGGGGAGGTTTAGGAATAAGCTAGAATTAGGATTGTGTGTCTCAAGTTCTCAAACTTTAGAAGCTCAAACTTTAAACACTAGGCAACGGAAAAATTAAGGTTAAAACTGTCAGAAATTTTAGGGATCACAAAATTTTTGTTTGTTATATAACCTAGGATTTTGTAAATTAGGATATTAATAAATTTGTCAGTTTTAACTGGTCAATGAAGTTTTATTGATGGGATGGTGATAAATGAATGATATTTTTTATATCCTTGCTCTATAATAAGTCTAACAATTAATCTTGACCATTAGATGTAAAATCTTAACCAAGCTCAAAGTTCAAATAAATTTTTTTCAAATTTTGTGACAAGCCCAAACTATCAAATCTAACATAGGATGGTTAGAAGTACGTGCTTCCAAATTGGCACCTTTGTAAGGATTGGCAAACTAGCATACTGAAAATTTTACCTATGTTATAGAGCGACCATGGAAAAGCCCATTGGATATATTTGGAACTCTAAGGAAATATTTGATAACTAGAGTTCCAAAAGATGAATGTTGTGGTTTAGTATCACTTCATTGTTTGTTAACAAAAAGTGCTACAGGAAAATAGTTGTTGGAAGTTCTTGGTTATTAAAACGCGAGAACGTTAGCTTCCATCCCCAGCCCCTATTATTTTAGAAAGTTTGCTACCCGTATCCTCTCTCTAACTATTCTCTCTTTTTAACTATGCTCTCATATCTTTCCTAACTCTATTTCCTTTCTAACTATTTGTCTTTTTCCAACGGGCAAGCTTTATATGCTTTCCCTATAATAGGGAAGTTCTATCGTTCCTTTATCCAACCGTCCATTTTGAATGAAATGTTAAGATGCTCCAATCACAATGTTATGTCTCTACACTATTTTATTTTTAATTTCTTTATATAAACTATTCTGACACCAAATTTTGAACGTCTATTTCTCTATTAAACTCGCACTAGCGAAAAATATTAAAAAAAATATATATTTTCAATAAAATAAAATGACTAAAATACCTTTGAAAGTTTCAAGGGGTATTTTGATCATTATATTTTATCAAAAATTTATTTTTAATATTTTGTATATGTGCGCCCCAATAAGAATATGAAACGTACCAAATTTCATATTCATACAATTTGTATAAAAAAAAAATACTTTAAGACATCAGATCTAAGATCCAATGATAAGTGACTCTCTTGATTAAAATTGAACGGCTGGATGATAGGAGGAGGATAGAGCTCCTATACTGTAGGGGGAGCATAGAAACCATTCCCTTTTCTAACTCCTCTGTCTAACTAAGAGATGGTAGACCCTCTTGCAAAATAGGGTACAACCTCATGTTCTTGTAGTGCACATGTTTTGAAGGTTGTACCATTTGTTTTACAAATGTTGTACAGTGAATGCAATTGAAACAAGTTCAAAAATTTTCTTTCTTTAAAAAATGGATTTACTCACCCCAGGTATCAAAAGTGAGTGATCCGTCCAAAGTAACCCTAAACTAGTGATAAATAAGGAGAGATAAGCCACCCATCTAACGACCGTTAAATGAGAGGACCTTTCCCCTCCTCTTCTCCACTCATTTGTTCCCACTTTTTTGGCTCACCTGTGTTCTTGGCTTAAGAAGGCGTAGACCGAGATGCAGCAGTAACGTCGGTCAACCACCCCAATAAATTGCAGAGAGAGAATTTTGGGTGTGATACATGATGCATTTATGATCACATTGTTCATCCCAAATTTTATCCGTCTCAAAGCAAAAAAAAAAGTTGACTTTTTTCCGTCATTTTAATTCACGTTTCTCTCGCGAAATGTGATACCTCACGTGTGCCTGTGCAGCCTAAAATAATACGTCGGACCGGCTATTGATTTTCAAAATACATTAATAAGGCATAATATGTGTTGGAATGGCTTCTAACAAAACATATTGGTTCAGCACGTTCACTTTTTATATTAAAATTGCAGGTTTATGTTGAAATTGTGTTGGTTCCGCTTTCCAAACTCAATTTGTACCGCCGTTAGACTGGCTTAGAGAGAAAGTGGGAGCATCTAAGAAAACGGAAAATGTGGATTAAAATAAAGGTATTTTATTCATAAAAGACCTTACTTTTTTACTTGAGGTTGGTTATAAAAATAAAAGTTTTGGGATTAAAAGTGTGATTTATGAGATTATATATAAGACCATTTATATTTGCTACAAAGAGCTCATAATTATTCTTGGACATTAGATGTCCATTGAATGGGATTATATACCAGAAGACTATCTATCTTCGTTATGAGGACACAATCGGCTTTGGATACTTCATAAAGTTTAAGTGTATTTTTATTATTTATTTATTTAAATTTTTTCTTTTGTGAACTTTGAATCTAATCAATATACTCTTACATCCACTCGATTTAAAATCCGCTAAACAATAGTGAGTTTAAGCTCTTTGTACAAGTAAATAGGCTCTTTGCTTACTTTTCCATGTTTTATTTAAGAAAAAAGTTTATATAAGGGTCAAGCTCTAAACAATCAAATTAGGGGGCACCTTAAAAATCCACTAGAAATATTATTTCGAAGACCAAAAATCCCCAAATTGATTATCTCGATCTCAAGATTTATGAACATGGGAAAAAATAGATTTCAAGTATTGAAAATAGTCGATCGTGTAATGTATTTTTGTACCGTCAATTTTTTTAGATTTTTCAAGTGTTCATAGATCTACTTGAACGACACTATTTTTTAAGCTTTCAATTTTGTAATTAGATATGAAATAAAGTTTCAAGCCATCACAAAGATTTCTAATACCAAAAAAAATTTCCGACACTATTTAAAGGTATGCTTTACTTTAATTGTTTGGAGCGTCAGCCCTATACAAATTACACCCTTTAAGTAGTGGACATGGTTTCTATTAGTCCACTGACTCGCATGCAGAAATGCAGCCCCTTGATAATTTGTTTTTGAAATAGAATTTAATCTATAATATTTAACATGTAGATTATTAATATGTAAAAATAAAAATTTAAAAACCAGAAATTATATTTTTAGAGACAATATTTGAACCGTTGATTTTACTTTTTTTTTAGAAGACTATTAGTTATGGTGTACATGTACACGTTCTTCAATGGATGATGTAGATCTCCAAGCCGGCATAGTGATACCAAACATTGGGAGGAGAGAAATATCTTGTACACTAAGGTAAGGGGGTATTCATAATGGGAAAGTATATGATAAGACTATTTACTTTTAGTACAAGGTGGTCATAATTAATCTTGACCATTGGATGTGAAAGTGAGTGGCTGCATTTATTTTATTGACCAAGCTCAAAGTTCATAATAAATTTTCTCAAACTTTGTAACACTCTCAAGCTATCAAATTTTAACATCGGATGGTTATAAGTAAGGGAATTTATTGTTAATATACCTTTATTTTAGCAAAATTGAAAAAAAAAAAAAAAAAAAAAAAAAAAAACCCTAAACTTTTTAAAACCTCGCATACATCTTTTCTCACAAATTTTGTTTTTGTTTTTACCAAAATGACCTTCGCGGTAGTCTTTTTACCGTAATAGATTTTAGGGAAATTATCGCTAATATACCTTAATTTTTAAAAAATTTTAAAAAAACCCTAAACTTCTCAAAACCTCGTCCACACCCTTTTTCCCAATTTACGATATTTTATGGACGAAAATACCTTTTATGGTAATCTTTCTACCGTAACGAATTGTGACCATTACGGTAATTAAAATACCGTTGTAAATAAAGATAGCATTACGGTACTTCTAGTACCGTAATAACATAAACATCTATTACGGTACTTTAATTACCGTAATAACATAGAGTATTACGGTAACTAAAATATTATAATACTTTAGTATTACGGTAATTTAAGTATGTTATATTGCCCAACTCAACACGAAAGATTTTTTACTCTCTCGAGCATACTATTTATTTATTCCCTCGACAAAAATCCACGCTAACTGTAATTTTTCAAATCTCAAATTTTTAGGATATAATCTCTGCTTAATTTTTATATGGTTATCAAAATTTTAGAACTAAAACATGCTTAAATCGGTGTTTTTGAGCGAGAGAAAAATGGTGTGGACAAGGTTTTGGGAAGTTGGGGTTTTTTTTTGTGATTTTCTTAAAATTAAGGTATATTAACGATAATTTCCTTACATTTTAAGCTTTACGGTAATTAAAACACCGTAAAAAAATTCACAGATTGTTACGGTAATTTATTACGGTAATAGTTTAAATTATTATTACGGTAATTTAATTACCGTAATGTGTGGGGAAGTCTTTATGGTATTCTTATTACCGTAATACTTTCCCAGTCAATTCCAAACCCCCATTGGTTGAAAAGCTTCTAATATCAGGGCTACCCCTATCCTCCCTTCACGGTAGTCTTATTCGGAGCAGTATTTTTCAAAGAATCTATGTTTCCATCGGAGCATGATGTGTATCTACTCTCTCGCTCAAAAAATGCCTATTTAAGAATGTTTTTGCTATAAAATTTTGAGAACCATATAAAAATTACTAAAATATTTTAGAAAGAATTGAATTGTGAGTTTTGCGACACTTAAATCTAGCTATTTGAAAATTGGATAGTTTCTATTCAATCTTGAAGTGTTAGGTTTTTCTAGTATACAAAAGAATTTACTTGAAAAATTTATTTTGCTGAAATTATTCTATCAGTAGTAGAGATTATATCCTAAAATTTGAGATTTGAAAAATAGAGCTAGCATGAATTTTTGCCGAGCGAGTAAATAGATAGTAGACTCCCGAGAGAGTAGAAAATCTTTTGTGTTCTTTTAATGAGGCGTGAGAAATATTACGGTAATTAAATTAGCTTAGTATTACTTATAGTATTATGGTATTTTAATTACTGTAATACTCCTTCAACTTATAACGGTAATAAAATTACCATAATACTAATTAAGGTATTACGGTATTTTAATTACTGTAATATTATTTACGGTAAAAACCTATCGTGAAGATTATTTTAGTCCAAAAAAAGCCAAATTTTGTGAGAAATGGTGAAGGTGAGGTTTCGAAAAATTTGGGTGTTTTTTTCTGATTATAGTAAACTATAAATATATTAACGATGATTTCCTTATAAGTAACTTGTGTAAACAATTCCATTTATAATTTAAAATTTGTTTCATATGGGCTGGACCACATTTCTATATATGTTGTCTAGAAAGTGTAAAACATCTATCTTAAAGATAAACGCAAGTAGATGTTATATCTAAAAACAATGAATAACGGCCAAATGTTTTCTTACTAGAATTATTATTTTTAATTTTTAAAAATTATTAATTTTTTCATATTCATGATACAGGTTACACGTCCTTAAAATTTAACTCTTAAAATCCATCTCAAAAATAGATTTATTAGGAGCCCGCATTTCTACATATGCGGGCATGGCCGCATAGAAACCGGGTCCTTTATAATTTCCCTTGTAGTGAATGCCATGATCCATCCAGGGATGATGAATGGCTTGACCTATACGATGCGTTGGTCATTTACAGAAAAGATTAGGATTGTTTAGGTCATTATCTCTCGAAGATCCTTGACCGTCACGAGCTTGTGCATCAATAGAAACATGCCCCATCGATCTCTGTCTCTCGTTGCGTGGAGCGACCTTCTCTCTGCAGCATAATTTCGGAACCTAGCATCGGGGAGTTTGTCTGGTTGCCCTCTGCCTTGATTATCGCGATTTCTCTCTCTCTCTCTCTCTCTCTCTCTCTCTCTCTTCATTCTGTGAGTTTTGATGTATTAGTTTTCTCTCTCTATACATGTTCTCTCTTAGCTATGTTGTAACAGTTTTTCCCTCTACCCTTCATTAATGCCCCTCCTCTCTCTCTCTGTGCTCGGAGTCCGTTTCGCTTGAAATCGGAAGTCACGATTCTAATATACTCGAAAAATTTCATCTGACATGAACATAGTACTTGAAGCAATTGTAACCTATGGCTTCAATCTTTAGAAGTGTGCTCTCTACATATTTCAAGATTCAATTTTTGCTTTGACAAGAATCAATTTTTGCTGACAAGTTGAACTTTGAGGATAATTTGTAGGAAGTTTGATTATACTTATACATAATTTCTTTGATTTGAATACAAACTGTAGCTTAGTGTCACAGGCTTACAGCAGCGCCATGTGCTCTTATACATAATTTCTTTGATTTGAATAGACACTGTAGATTTAGTGTCACAGGCTCACAGCAGAGCCATGTGTGCTCAATATCTTTACCGTTTTTATGGCTGCAACTGAAGATAGATGAATTTTAAGAAAATTGGGTGAGACCCAATTTTCTAATCTTTCTAATCTAGATTTTATTATTGTACAATTGGAAAAAGGAAAACCAAACCCAAGAGATTCCAGTCCATGATGCCATAGTCTCAAAAGCACTGTGTTATAAGCAATATAGAACCCCTTGTCACGACCTAGATTATACAACTAGTCATTCTTCTGCTCCACAGATCAACAACTTCTTCCTGAATGCCTTTTTTGGTGTAAAGATAAAAATGCATATCCATGATTTTGTGAAACTTCAGATATATATATATATATATATATATATATATATATATA